ATAACCATAGTCTACAAAAACCACATCAACTTCGTTTGCAGATATTTGCTGCACAATTGTTGCTCTGTACCACTTCCCATCTTTGGGACTTTTAACAATACAGGCAACCTGTCCAGTTTTATAAGACTTATAGTAAGACTTATAGTAACTCTGAATTTGTTCCATTAAGTTATTTAGCTCTGGCAGTTTGCTTTGCAACTGACAGCAAAAATCTGCTGGGGAAACAATGTAGGAACATACCACTTCAAAAAAAGCTCCTGGTTTAAACACAAACTCTTTATAAAATAATTCTTCCTCACGTACCGATTCACATCTTTTAGAGACAGCACCGTTTCCAAAACGGGACAGCACAACAGATTCTCTCAGCACCGAAGGCACACTTAATGATTTTTCCTTCTGAAATACCTCTCCATTTCCATATACCTTATTTTTACGAATATTACAGATGTTCTGTGCATTTACTTTTGTATTTTTTAACTTGTGAGGATTCAGGTTTTGACCTTTTTTTGCCAAATTTAGAACAGAATTTGGTGTCTTCTCCCAGTACTCAGCATATCCAGCCTTAACCATATGTGCAGCAACATTTCCTTGCTGCAAACCATTCCTGTACTGCGCATTAACAATATACTTGTTGCTTTGCTTTCCAACGACATGAAGCAGCAGTAGTCTGTTAAAAACAATGTCTTTGAAGAAATCAGTTTCCTTTTTAACCCACACATCATCAACAGGAAATGTGCAAGCAAGTGTACAACACATAGCTAAAGCTGGTAAATCAGAAAACTCAGGAAGCAATGTTTTCACATCATAACAGGGTACTGTATCTGTATTTCCAAAATCCAAAAAATAAACAGTAATGTTTACACGAAGCACTTCAATGACAACAGCCCGATAATAATGCATGTCTTCGCTATACCGGGCACAGCACAGCAATCCAGGTTCTGGGTTTTTAAGGACCATTTCATCAGCTCCACATTGGTTATATGTATCCGCAATATTTTTCATCAAGGCTTGAAATTCATTCTGATATTCACATGTTTGAATCCAGAAGTCAGATGGATTTATGACATATACCACAACAGCAGTATGGAAAGAATTCATTCGCATTTCTACTCTTTTGCAGCGGCTTGAGAAAGAAATGTCCCATTCAGGTAAGCAGTTTTTTGTATGTTTATTCCCAGTACAATTCTTAAATGAATTGTATCTCTCATTATGTGGTTTGTAGTTTATAGCAATATTTGTGATTTTTGTTTCCGAAAGCGAGACACATGATGCAGCTGCCTCATTCAGGTTTTCTGGATGCTTAGCATTAATTCCAATATCCTGATTTTGCAGCGATATATAATATAAGTGTTTAATATCATCGAATGAATCAACATGGACACACACAGAAGTTCGTCCTATCAAGGCCTGTAGAAGTTCTTTCAGCTGAATTTTTATTACTGTTTCGTCCTGACTACCAAAACAAGACAGCGCACATGGAAATGAAGTCATTGGTAATGCCATGAACTCTACTTTAAGTTTCTGGACGCAATTAGATGGCACAGCTTCAGTATTGCCAAAATCCATGAACCAGACTTCCACATGGTCAGAGAGAAGCTGTTTTATCACTCCTCTATGCCATTCTCCATTTTGCCTTTTGGCAGCACAGAGTAGCCCTAAACTATCAAAAGATCTATTATCTTCTGTACTGATAGCTTCATAGTACAAATGCATAGCTCCCGTCAAATCTTTCAGCTCTTTCTGCCATTTCTGTATCTGACAGTAAACTTTTTTTGGGCTTACTGCAACAGTTACTTTTACATTTTCTTTACTGCCAACAGGTAGACATGGAAAGAGATCATCTGGAACCGGCCAAAAATCTGTTGGTTTCTCTGAATTACTGAAAGTAAGCAAATCCTTGACTGGATACTTCTGTTGCAACAATTGTGGCACTCTCTTACAAAGCATTTCTTGGGGAAACGCTCTTAACGTTTCTACAATAAGACAAAATGAATCTCCATCAATACATTTTCCTAACTGCAGCTCAAGAACATCACTAATGATCTTTGGTACTTCTAGAATAAACAGTTGGTATGGCAGAACAGCCTTCACATGCCCTGTAATCTGTAATCCTACTAGAGATGAAAAATAGTTAATGGCTTTTGGACCCCATTTTTCTCCAAGAGGAAGTATGCTTGCAAAAACACCCAAAACCACCTTTGGAGGCAGCTGAAACAATTCATCACAAGCAGAAGCAAGATGTGTTTCCTCAACCACTAGTACTTGCCCAGTGTCAATAAGAAAAGTCTCACAGATATTCTCTCTCTTTTCCAGAACTCTTCCTCTATGCCATTTTCCTTCTGTGTCTTCCACCAAACAAGATCCACCAATATAAATGTTATCTTTTACTTTGAATACACGCTGTATTTCGTTTTGTAGTATGTAATAGTCAAGCTCACATCCTGCCTTGTATTGACCCTGGAACACTATAACCAAGCATTCGGGATGGCATTCTATACGAGTTATCTTTAGATTCATATCTAATACGTTTGGTGAAGAAGTCAAAGATTCCATCCTGTCTGCAAAGAAAAGGAGTAATATCAGCCTGATAATTTCCTATATTTTTTGTCAACTAACTCCTTACATGAAATTTGTTTTCAAAATGCTTTAATAGCATATTATTACACTGCTAGTTAAAATGTACACTAAATATTTAATAATGGCATGTTTTATGCAACTGGGATAGACTCGACATGATTCTCTTTGTAAAGACATGTTCAGATAATATCTGAAAAAAACCTAACTCTGGACTTGCTCTTGTGGCTACAGACTAGTTTTATCACTTGAGAATAATTTATAATCAGAAAGCTGTTCCCAGAATAATGCAGAGAATTAAAGATTATATCAGAAAATAACAGGGGGGGGGGGGTTGG